TCCTACCTGAAATCTTAGGGAAGATGGGTTTTAGATCACGTTGGAGAGTATGGATCCAGGTATGTCTGAAGTCAACTCATTTCTCTATCATTTTCAACGGAAAATCTTGTGGTTATTTTAAAGCATAAAAAAACATTCAACAAGAAAATCCTTTGTCCTCATACTTATATACTATTATGACATAAAATTTTAGTACTATGTTGAACTTTGTGATGAATAGATGCCTTATTTTTGGATTTAATGTTGGTAGACTAACAATCTTTTACGTACAATATGCATATACTATTATCTTTTGTAGGCCAGAGGAACAAGAAGTAAGGAATTTGTGGGTGTTCTTAAAGTATATGGAAATAACAACGGGTCTCAAAGTGAATTTAAAAAAGGCAAATTTGATTGGGATTGGAGTTTCAAAGAATGAGGTGGCATCTTTGACAGAAATTATTGGATGTGGGGTTGACAAGTTTCCTTGCAAATATTTGGGTATTCCTTTATTAGGAAGAAACCAATTGACAACTATTTGGGATCCTATTGTTGAAAGATTTAATAAGAAACTAGATCTATGGAAATCTAAAGTGTTGTTGTTTGAAGGAAGATTTACTCTTATCAACTCTACTTTATCCAACTTGCCCATCTATTTTATATCTATTTTCATAATGCCAAAGTAGGTGGTGAAGACTTTGGAAAACATTATGAGATCTTTTTTATAGGGCAATGTAGGAATGAGAAAAAAACTGAAACTCGTGAATTGGGAAAATTTATGCACTTCCAAGAGAGATGGGGGTATAGGAGTTAAAAGCTCAAATTGATGAACACTAGCCTATTGACTAAGTGGTGGTGGCACTTTCAAAATCAGCAAGATAGCTTATGGGGAGAGGTATTGAAAGAAAAATATGGAGTAGATGTATTGACTGGCCACATTAAAAGTCCAAGATCTAATGTTGGTTTTTCAAGTATTTGGAAAAGAATTGATGCGTGCCTTTCATTATACCTTAGTCATTGTCACAAAGTGGTTGGAAAGGGAGATCACACCTTGTTCTGGTTTGATAAGTGGCTGGGAGACCTTGTTCTTTGAGATTCTTTCCTTGAGGTCTTCTCCAAAGTTGACAATCCATTGGCCTCAGTGAAAGATCTCAGGGGAGTTGATGTTACTAACTCTTCTTGGAATATTGTTTGCTGGTACAAGAGTGTTTCAAACTCTTTCTTTCATGAGTTCCAATTACTTATGAATCTGTTGCATAATTTTTTCTATTTTCCAAATAAAGATGATCGATTGGTGTGAGAACTCACAGCTTCAAGGGATTTTTTAGTTAAGTCTGTCTATCGACTGCTGCATGAGGAGAATCACAGAGTGATTAATCGTAGTTTCGCAAGAATTTGGAATTTGTAGGTGCCACTGAAGGTTCTATTATTTTTGTGGGTAGCTCTTCAAAAAAAGCTGCTTACTATGAATAACCTTCGTAAAAGAGGTTTCATAATCGTCAATGCTTATAGGTTATGTTTGAGGGATAGTGAAAGTGTGGACTATATTCTTTTACATTGTCCTTTCACTTTAAGCATGTGGGATTGGTGTAGAAAGTTGTTGAATCAAAATATCCTGAGAGTTGATCCTCTCTCAATGGATGAACCCTGGTATGTCGGAAGTTGGCACCGTGCTAGGGAGAGCTTTATGGGTGAGCATTATTTGGAATATTTGGAAAGAGAGAAATAGAAGAACATTTGAAGGGATGCAAAGTGAGATTAAAGTTTTAAAGTCCAACACCTTAGCAACAACAACTGAATGATTTTCAATAAACAAGGATTGTAAGTTTATCCCAAAATCACATATTTTTTAGAACCCATCTGAAGTTGCTAATCTTAATAATGACAGACAGCAGGTTATGATGATACCATTACAGATCATATGGGTAATTACAAATTCACCTAGTCGGGACCATGTGGACATCCAATGGTGAATGAAGCTGAGGCAAGAGCTCTTTTAGAGAGTTTAAAGATAATAATGAACCTTGAGGGCCAAAAGATGATTGAAGGTGATTCAAGCAATGTCATTGCTTGGACAAAAGGAAAAATGAAGCTACCTTGGAGATTATGCAGCATTTTCGATGAAATCTTTTTCATTTTAAGTAGTGGTTTTTTTGAGTTATCTCATCGTTTTAGGCAGGCTAATATAGAAGTTGATGCTCTAGCATTGGGTGGTGTGCACCAACATTCATTGGTGATTACATCCTTTTCTTCTTGAACTTCCTTGTAATCGTTCATGGGTGAATGAAATTCATAATAACTAATTTCAAAAAAATATTGGTATCAAAAGTGTTGGGTGGAGGATGCCTAGAAAGTACAAATGCGCAAGGGGAAGAAATGTTTTCTGTAATTTTCTCTATTTATATTAATTGAATTTCTAAACATAGGGGGAGTGACTCCAAAAATGAATTAGAATATGCACACATCCATGTATTTATACATAAAAAGACAAAAAAAAAAACGAGAGAAACCCTTTAACGAAGGAGGATGAGTTTAGAGGGATGGTAACCAAATTTGAAAGTTTATCTATTTCTCTCCTACAAACTTCCTAAAATGTCTCTCCAATATCAAAGAATTCCAATAATCTCTAATAGAAATTTTTGAAGAATCTCTAAACTAAAGCATCTTAGTAAAATGTGGGTAGAGATATTAGCACCCCAATTTAATTTTTTGCTAAATAATATTTTATATGCAGAAGTAAAAAAATAAAGAGGAAAAGGAGAGAGAAATAGCCTCTCTCTAAACTAAAGCATCTTAGTAAAATATGGGTAGATATATTAGCGCCCCAATTTAATTTTTCGCTAAATAATAATTTATACGCAGAAGTAAAAAAAAAAAAAAGGAGGAAAAGGAGAGAGTTATAGGAAGTGTGATAGATGCCATGAGTTACTTTATTTATAGTTCATGTACTCTACAAACACATCGAAAATAAGCTCTACTTTTATTCTAGCGGCGTTCGGCCATTGTTTAACTTGTGAGCCTGCAACTATTCAAAAAAACAAAAGAGAGAGAGAGAGAGTATACCTTTTTAAACCCAAATTTTTTTTTATCCAGATTGCCAATTCGAACGAGAATCAATAGGGACCGAACCAGTTCTAAAATGATATAGATCTTGGTCTAGTATTTAATTTTTTTTGGGCCCCTTCTAAATCCCCACCCTATAAACCTCTATTATAATTTTTATTTTATTTTTATTTTTTGATATTTTTTGGATTCATGATGAGTTTTGATAAAATCTTACATTGGCTGCCTACCTAACACAGCTTAGACCTTTTACCTGGGCATGGGATAGGTTAAGGGAAAGTTTAAATGGATGAGGTACCGTGATGCATGTTGTTCGCAGATGACATTGCTTTGATTGATGAGACCCGAAACGACGTCAATATAAAATTAGAACTTTGAAGGGATGCTCTAGAATCCAAAGGTTTTAAAATTAGCAAGACTAAGACAAAGTATATGAAATGCAAGTTTAGTAGTAATAGGAGTGGGGACAAGAAAGTAGTTAAGATTGATGGCTATGAAGTATTAAAAAAGACCGTACTTTTGATACCTTGGGTCGATATTCTAGGAAAATATAGATATTGAGGAAGATGTTGCACATAGATTTAGAGTTGGGTAGGCGAAGTAGAGATGTGCAACTGGAATTTTATGCAATCGCTACATACCAATGAAGCTGAAGGGCAAAGTTCTATAAGGCAGCTGTTAGACCAGCTTTGTTTTATGATGTAAAATGTTGAGTGAATAAAAAACAATATACCCCTAAAATGAGTGTAGCAGATATGAGGATGCTTAGATAGAAGACAAGACGGGATAAAATCCGAAATGAATCCATTCGGGAAAGTTGAGGCGTGGAACCAATAGGCGAAGATGATAGAGAGTAGACTTAGGTGGACTGATTATATGTGGCATCGACTTAGTACAACACCTGTTAGGAGTTGCGAGTTAGTTCAAGTTGAAAGATTGAAAAAGACAATGAGTAAGCTTAAAAAGATGTAGTTGGAAATAGTCCAAAAAAAATGAGGACTTATGGCCTCACTGAGGATATGACTTTAAATTTAATAGAATGGCAGATCAAGATTCGTGTAACCAACTCCAATTAATTGAAAAAAAAGCTATGATGATGATAATGAGATGATGATGATATTTTTTGGACCATTGATTTGGACTAGACCAAACCAAATCCAATCCAAATCATCGATCCTACGATTCCTACGTGGATTTATGGTGAATGATCCACCCAATTGATACGGGCTTTGATACATTGCCCTGAACCACTTCATTTAGAGGTCATGTACCCAGCAACCACTCTATGAAGAGGGTCTGCCTTTATTATTGCGATATGTGCCCACCCCTAAACTATGCTTAATAATATAATTATAATAATAACTAATGGATGACGTGCATTGGACGTAGTAGATCAACTTAAATAAGTACGGTAGAAAGTATATTTATAAATTTGAATGAAGATGACATGTTTTTCTACAGAGAATCAAAGAATTGGGAATAATATGTAAAATAAAACTTACTTGAGATAGATTTAATTTATTATTAAATTCAAATTTATTTTTTCAAAACTTCCTTTTAAGAAACTATAAATTGATAAAATATTGTATTTTACATGATTTTAATGGTAATTAAAAGAGAATAAACTTACTTTTTTTTGTGCTAATACTAACTATTTAAAGCTCACTGTAACGCCGAGTTTATTTGGAGGAGGAAATTGATGAGATAGTGACTGGGACATTGTATATACACTTATGTAGAAAACTCTTTTTAAAGATTTTTTTATTTAAATTTAGGATCCATTTTAGAATTTGTGGTTTATTTAACACTAGTGTATGCTCATGTTACGCAGTTTTCAGGAACGAAACCTTGAAAGTGATTAATGAGGTTGTTTCAATAATATTTAAGGTAAAAAAGATACTCTTAATATTGGGTTAACCAAATGGAGTAAATTAATTTGCCCAGGATGAAGCATAAACTTCAACAATTTTGGTAATGTAAATATAAAATATAAACATCCTCTGCTATACTCGAACCACAACCACCGCTATATGCGAACCACTTGCTGAACCTCTCGAAGCTATTAAGCAATGCCATGTTCGGCACGAATCAAGTCATGCTTTATATATAGAAGATTTTGAACTTGCATCAATAACTATTATAATTGCTCTATGTTCTGCTCGGTAATCACCATCTTCATCATGATCACTGAATTCACTCCATGTGCTACTCCGACGACCCCCATCAACTACAGATGGAAAAGAAAACATTCACCAGTTGACTCCTATGGCCACTTGAATAGAACCATGACAAACTGCACATACATAAGAAAGTAATGTACTACAAAAAACAAAAGAAAACCGTAGTCATTGGGGCCATCACCGCACAGCGCAATGATGGATGGTGATGATAAGAGAGGGACCCAACTTTGGCCTACTTCCTTTTCTGATGTGCACCACTCTCTCTCGATCAAAGTCCATCATGGTGATGCATAATGGATTACGTGTTTACCATAGTAACTCATAGTCCATTTGGGTTATAATATACTTTCACCAAACAATTCCCTGATACAACAAACAGCAGATTTCTTCATTAGGCAATTAAAAGGAATGCAGAAACTACCTTCACTCAAATCGCCACATTTCGCACGAAGAAAGATTTCATCTGGGTCTGTATTCTGCTGTTTGAAAACCATCAGATTCACATTCTCTTTCCTGCCATACCAGGGTAACATTCTCAAATCAATATGGACACCAAATACCATACCCAAAGCAATACATACTAGCAAGAGGCAGGTGTTAAGCATGTCAATGTTACCGGGACTACAATGGTAAAAGCATATATAAATAAATTTATTTCCCAAAAAACCGAATCCCTCAAACTTGGTAATGAAAGATTAGGTTTCCAATGAAGATTGTTATCCTAGAAATAGGAGATAATAATCCTTCAAAGAAGAGTTTCCTTTACAATTAGAATTCTTCTTATATATTTCAAATCAAATATCCAAAGAAGCTATTTATTATATTGAGGGATAAAGATTGAATTGGATTAGGAGGTACATTACCCTAATCTCCCACTTAGTGAGGTCCTTTCAATAGGTACCCTACCCTAATGTCTTATATCTCCATATGGTTTCAGTTTAGTTGAATGCCATATGTCCTTATCCTCCTATCCTAAATGCGATTTTGTACTGTGTATAAGGAAAATTGTTTCATGCAGGCTGGACCGCATTTCTACATATGCGGTGCAGAAAGTGTAAAGCATCCATCTTAAATATGGATGCAAGTAGGTGTTCCATCTTAAAATAATGGAAACTAACGGTCCAAATGTTTTCTTACTAGAATTGTTATTTCTAGTTTTTAAAATTTATTTATTTTTTCATATTCATGATCTTTATTAGAGATTACATGCCCTTAAAAACTAAGTCCTAAAACCCATCTCAAAAATAGATTTATTAAGAGGCTCGCATTTCTACATATGCGGGCTTGACCGCATAGAAACCGGGTCCTATGTATAATATACCAAGAATCTCAAATAAACTTGCAAAAGGTGGCGGCCCGTTGAGCCAACACAATGGACCAAAGATAAGACTGGTCCCATTGGGACTGACTCCATTGCTTTCTTGACCGTCCATGTGCAGGCCGGCTTCATTTTGTTCAAGACCGGTGCCGAGAAGACCCGCAAGCCAGACTCAAAAGGATGTCTAACCATTCAATTCTGGCACTTTTGGATGCTAGGCCACTCACGGTTAAAGCCACTCTCTTTTTGGGGCTGCCATATTGGAGTCAATAGCTGGACATAAACTAATACCACTAGATGAAATTGGAAGTCCAAGAAGACCCCAAGCTCAGAGTCATGGGAAAACCCATACCCAGAGACTGCTAGAGCTGCTACCAAACACCCAACTACATAAAATCCAAAAAAAAAAAAGATAAAAAAAAAAGAAAGAAAAAAAAGATATTGATGCTCTACCTCGCCCAAGAGGGTCTATGTTTCCTTGGATAAGTGTCTTCTTCTTCTTCTTCTTCATTTTCTTCTTCCGAGTCTTAGAACGGTGTGATCTCATATGAGGGGGAAACATAAATTTCTTCTTTGGCAAAAATGTCATCCTTATTCGTAGTCCCTAAACTGTTTAAATTAGTTGCAACCTGGACAGAAATGAGCAAGCCAATCAATACACGCGTTCCCAGAGTTGCCTACCAAGAGAAGTATATATTCAGTTTGTCTGAAATTAATTTTGCAATACTACCTTAGAAATATGCCAAGTCATGAATTGGGCAAACTAAGAAATTTCCAACCAGCTAATGGTACAGAGATGATTGGCAGATATCACAACTTACACAACTTAGTAGTCTTAAACTTCATCAAAACTGATAGTTAAAATGTCCTTTTACATAAGCCATATGCCTCAAACAAAATCTCACAATTTATCAGTAGAGAAATGAAACAAAATTATATGATATTAGTACCTTAATGATATTTTTACAGACAACAGAATTTCAATTTTCAAGCACGGGAAAGAATTATTTCACAAACATAGCTAATACATTAAGCATTAGGGGTCACAGCATTAGTTAAGGCTTCATAAGGTAATATTCACAGTTTTGGTTTTGGTTTTGATTTTGACAACAATATGTCACCTCTCCGATACAAGGCAGCTTATGGAAAGACTTGAGATTCCCAGATACACTACTTGTAGGTCTGCTGTCTACGTTTGAAGTCTTTCTACCCTTACTTTCCAGTTCCCTCTTCTTGCGAGCGGTCATTTTTCTTTCCGTTTCCATTCTCTGTCGCTTCTTTGCCCCTGTAGCCAATTCCTTTCTTTTGCATTCCTTCTCTTTCTACACAAGACAAAGTATTTCCATCACAACATTATTATTTTCGATAAGTAAATAACGACAAAATTATTACGAAAAGATTTTTACCAAAATAACATTTATTACAGAAACTTTGGAATATAAAACCGCTTTTGGTTTCCTTTCTGAAAAGAATAAAAGACATACCATAGCTTTGCTTTTTTGCTCTTTCTCCTCTTTTTCTAACCGCAACCTCTCTTCAAGTTCTCTCCTTTGCCTCTGTGCATCTTCAATGCACTTCCACTTTCTCTCTTTTTCTTTCGTTTCATCTTCTTCTCTCTGCCGTTTTTTGGCAGCTGCTTCAGCTTCCCTTCTCTTTCTATCCTCCTCTAGCTTCTTCAGTTTCTCCTCCTTTATTTTCTGGTTCTCCTGCTCAATCTTTGCCCTTTCTTGTTTAGCAGCTTCTTTCCTCAATTTACGCTCATTCACCTTCCGTTCTTCCAACCGTTTTTCAGCCTTAGCGGTCTCTAGAGCCTTTACTTTAATGTCCCTCTTGCCTGATAATAAACCCACTTCAGACATAAAACCAAGGGTTGGTTGAGGCAAGGATATCCTTCTTTCGCATTAGCATTTATCATTCAAACCGTTTCATCTATGCTTTGTTTCTTTTTCCTCTGTCTTTCTCATAGAGTATTTTTGTTTCTTTGCTTCTTCTTGTGTTAATCAAAGGAGTACTTTGTATAGCATTTCAGTTTTCTAGTACTCTAATTTCATTTTTTTCATGCATTCAGCAATAAGAATTGAACATGAGATGTAGCTTGCTAACATCAACTACTAACCACTCAAGCCCAAGCTCCATTCCTAGTTCTCGAACTTCATCAAACACACATATGAGAGCCTCATTCTAGTCTTAACTAATTAGCATTCAACTTGACGTAAATGGGCTGAGTAATGACAAAGGCAAATGAGAAGCATAAGTTCACAATAATTTTATTTTACTAATAAAATTTAAACTTGATGGATAAAAAAATTAAGAAAAGAAAATTTCACAATAAATTTATTTTACTAATAAAATTTAAACTTGATAATTAAAAAACTTAAGAAAAGAAAATTTCACAACAATATCCTCAAAGCAAACGACTAAGTTTGTGATTTACTGTTATCTTCTGATAATCCCCTGCCAACAACAATTTCTTCAGGTTTCATCTATCAGTCATTAAAATTATTGACTTTACTGTAATCATTTCCGTTATTTAGTAATAATCCTTGAATAATTTAAATCCAAACCCTTCTCTAGTGACACCAAGTTTTGCTGAAGAAGTATCGAGTATTTGGGAAAGGGAAGATGTACAGTAAATGAGTAAATCCAAAACTTCCCTATTTTCCCAATGCTGCCCTTACAGCATAAGGGGAATCTTTAAAGGGGCTCTTTCCAAAAGAAAAAAGAGGATCCTTAAAGGGTACGGTTTGTATAAGGTGAAACCTTAAAAAATCAAAGTAATGTGCACCTCTAAATCTTCCTAAAAGATATAATTTCAGTGCTGAAAACTCTTATGATGGCCTAAAAATCTATTTTCACCCCCAAATATGAAATTTAAACATCCAAAAATGGTGCAGATGGAGCAGATTTATAAACATTTAAATTTTTTGAAAATGGATGGCCTAGCTAATGTGTTACAAGTTACACTATTTTCTATTTTTATAAAATCATTTTTTCAATACCATACATCTCAAGATCGAGATGATCAATTTTAGGGTTTCTTGGCATCGGAAAAACCTTCTCGGGTGGATCTTTGAGGTGAAACTTATTTCTACAGTATAAGGTTGACATCTTATATAAGCCTTGTCCATCTTTAAAATGCCACTTTTCAAGCCTGTTTTACAATAAAATAAAATAAAAAAGAAAGGGAAAAAAAAAAGGGTACCAAGAACCTCTTCCAAGACTATTGTCCAAAACTAAGTGAAGGGGTAACTAAAATGATGGAATAACATTGTTAACCAGTTGCAAGCAGAGTCTAGGTACAAAACTTAACAAAATGAAATCACCAAGGCTACAAAAAAAATGTAATTATATTCCAGAAAAGAAATCAACTACCCCATTCATCAAACTCAAAAAGAAATCAAATTACCTGTCAAAATTGCAGGTGCTTGTTGCTTTTGCCGGACAAGTGGAATAAACGAGGAGATACTTGATACAATATTGTTACGCTTACTGGGATTTTCTTGTAAAATCTCACTTCCTATTTCTTCACTTGCACAAGTTCCAATTTTGACATGCCAGATTCATTATTCAAGATGCTTGAGGACTTCCTTGTGCTATGTCTATGTTGCATAGGATTTTGGTTCTCCTTGTCTGCTATGGAGGTTTTTTTTTACTGTCAGAACCTTCCCTGAGCTCTTGGTTCTCATTCATTTGATTCCCAACAAAGTTAAATTCCCCATAAACAGTGGCCATACTAAATCTGTTTGAACACTTCGCTGCTGGGTCCAAAATTGGATAATTACAAGATATTGATGTAATATCTTGAAGCGGTTCACGATTACTTGGAGCCTTTCTCTCCCTTGACTGAATCCCTTTATGGGTTTCTTCCAAATCCTCAACAACCTGAACATCTCGTTTACCAGTACTGGTTTCTTCTTCAATTCTAAAACACGTAGAAGGTTTCATACCAACTACTCTTTCTGAGCTTTTATCCATGAACATAGAAAATAATTTACTAGAAATTCTTCCATCTGAAGGAGTGGAAGAAGCAGGGCTCTTGACATTCCACCCAAATCGTGAACTTAAAGATGGAATATCATAAGGATCAGACCTACCCAATGACATGGACCTTACTGCATATAGTTTACTCTCTAGCATGACCTCATCAGTTTTGTGAACATGATCTTCATACTTGTACAAGTGGCCATATCCATTTCTTAAATACATGTGTTCCAGAAGCCCATTAGGTAAGGACTGATTAATCTCTGGTGTATGAGATGTAGGCAATGGCGTAAGGAAGCTGCTAGAATTATGCAGCTTGATAGAACTAAATCGGGCTCTTTTAGAGTTTGGCATTTCAAACTCTCCATTTTCCAAGGGCATCACAAAGCTCAACCTGTCAAGCTCTGGTATGGCTTCATCAGCATCAAGGGAACTACTTTCACACAGTGGGGAACTCCTTTCCTCCAAGTCGCTCTCCTGGACAGATATAACACCTTAAAGTTGTTATATATAAGATAATTTTGTGTACCAGTGTGTGCTCTTTCACAGGTTTATGTAAGGAAAGTACAATGAAATGATGACTGGAGATGTTGCGAGTAGGGCCCACCATTGCACCATGTCCTTTACTGGAGGGTCCTTCCCCCCACCATCTCCATCCATTGTTCCCAACATGGCTTTTGCCTATTCCTCTGGGTTATAATTTTGTCTCCTTTGACAAAATCCATGATAACAAGACAAATAAAAAGCACTGCAAAAATCATGGATATCTATATAACTGTTTAGCCAAGGGTATATGTCCTATGAAATCATTAACTTTTTTGGCTTAACTTTAGTCAAAGTCAAAGAGAAGAAAAAATCCATTCCACATGCATAGCACATAAATGGCCTACATATGTTCCAAACAACCGAACTACAATGAGATAAAGGATTGTAGAAAATATGCAATTTTTTTTTTCTTTAATCTTTAGAAGAGCCTTAAGCAAGTAATATATCACTAGTAAACTATAAAAGGATCATTTAGAGGAAAAAGTCCTACATAGTCCCTAGTGCACCAAATTCATTCAACTCCGGAAAAAAGAGCTATCAAAAACATAGCTTGGCAAGTTCAACCATAAAATGGAAGAAAATCTAATTCAAAATCCCAAAAGAAAGAATAAAACAAGAAACATTGAGTCGTATTGCAAAAACATAAATCCAAGATTTAAAAATATAAAAACAATCCCTAGTGCACCAAATTCATTCAACTCCGGAAAAAAGAGCTATCAAAAACATAGCTTGGCAAGTTCAACCATAAAATGGAAGAAAATCTAATTCAAAATCCCAAAAGAAAGAATAAAACAAGAAACATTGAGTCGTATTGCAAAAACATAAATCCAAGATTTAAAAATATAAAAACAAAATACACAGGAAAAGAAAACCAAAACAAATATAAAAAGAAAGAATAAAAGAAAAAAAAGAAAGAAATAAAGAAAAGACTTACAGCTTCAGCTGAAAAGTTCAAGCAAGCTGACTGCTACTGTGAATATACTTTCCTTGAACACCTTGTCAATCTTGGTGAAGTGATTAAGCCCTTAGTTTGATCTTTTTCTCTCTTCCTCCTCTTATACTGAGGCCATGATGCTTCATTGTCTACTAAAATTTGAGCAGAACAAGAAGTTCTCTTCAGTGTTTCCGATACTTTTCCCTCTTCTGATTTGGCAGCAACATTCAAGGACAGGACCCCTTTGACTCCAACAGATTCGGGTAACAATTCAGTATGAACTTTTTCTGAAGACCCCATGGTTTCAGTTCTCTCTAATCCAATCATTTGATCCACTTCTGAAAATTTCCTCTTCAGAGATCCCGCATTCGAACACCCTTTCTCCCAGCCTTCTGAAAAAGAGCTTGCCCTGTTCAAACCAGAAGCTTCCAAGCCCTCATATACCAGTTGTTCTTGCTGAACCAAGGAATCAGGTCTATGCCCAGTTGCTTCATTTAGAGTAAATAAATTCCTACTAACAGCATCTCCTTTGTCTTGAACGACATCTTCTTCCTTCATTTCTGACCCAGAATGCAAAGTTACAAAATCCCCTGGTTTTGGAACTTCACGTTTTGATCTCTGAGAAATAGCAGAAGCTGCAGAACAACTTCTCTTTCTACCATTTGGAATGTTCTCCGATGTAACTGAAGCCTCAAATGGAAGATCTGATGGAGCAGTAACAAAAGTTTGAAAATTGCAAGATGCTTTCTTCTTGGACTCAAATACCTTTTGATCCACCAATGAGGCAGGAAGATCAACGGACAGGGCTCCTTGGACTTCAACAGTTTTGGACAATGCTTCAAACTGTTCTTTCTGAGGAACCCCCAGGATTTCCGCTTTTTGTAGTCCAATTGTCTGCATCTCTTCTGAAACCTTCCTGTTTGGAGTTCCCAGATGCAAAATATCAGGTTCACTGCCCTCTGAGAAAGACCCATTCTTGTTTAAACTGCAATCTTGCAAGTCAGCACAAGGCAGTTGTTTAGATTCAATTGAGGAGTCTGGACTATGACAAGTTGGTTCGTTTGGGTTTGATATATTCATCCACAAAGCCTCTACCCCATTAACTTGAACGTTTGAATTTTTCTTCAGCTCATGCCCAGACTCACATGAATTTCTGCAATCTACTGGTTTTGGAACCTTAGATTTTGCTTCATCCTTGGCCTTACTAGAAGAATTGATTTCTTTTCCAGTGCTTGAAGTGTTATTGACACTGGATGTGATTGAAGCCTCACGCTTAATCTCTTGCTTCCTGCCCTCTGATTGACTGCCAACCTGGTTCAAACTGCATTCCCCCAAGTCATCAAATACTAATTGTTTAGGTTCAACTAGGTAATCCTGTCTACAGACAATTGATTCACTTGGGTTGGATAGATTCCTCCTAGAAACCTCTTCTCCTTGGGCTTGAAGCTCTGGTTCATTCTTCAGTTCAGGCCTAGAAAGTGGAGCTCCGCATCCAATTTGTTTCATTACCTCAAAGTTTGTTCCATGATCAGCACTAATAGAACAATCATCATGGGTCTTCCGTTTAGATTTCAGAGAGATTTCAGAGAGTTACTCACATCAGGTGAACGTGAGACCCCCTGTTCAAGTTCTGGTGATTGAATGACCAATTGGTTTTCTGTTGCTGCTAAACTTGCTATTTTATTCTGGCATTCTTTCTTCTGCAGATCTGATCTATGCCGAGTCATCCTACCAGTGTGTCCTGCTATACCTGTAGAAACCACGCTGGTTCGATTCTTGGATTTAGCTTGCACACTGTTTCTAATCCCCAAGGCTCGCTGCCTTGATCTAGACCTTGTGATTCTTCCCAGTGAGGTTTCAGGTATAATACAACTGTAAAATTTTGGGTCTTTCAAGACCCCCAAAGGAGAATTTCTGGAATTTTCAGGACCATTTCTTGAGAGTTCTTGTAAATTCTCACTTTCTTTTCTGGCTACCATGCTGAATGGCCTGCTTTGATAGGCATAATGGTTCATGGATGGAAAGAACACATTGGGCCTTGGAGGTGCGAAAAGAAGGCCTGGTATCAGATGTTCCTTCTTTAACTCTGTCACAAATTTTCAGAATAATCAGAAAAGGGAAAAAACATATTAACTGAGTTTCCAAATTATCCAACACTCCAACAAAAAAGAGAAACAATTCTTTGGCCGATTAAGAAGAGTTGCTAAAATAATAAAGGCTCCAAAAGGCTTTAACATAAAGGAGAGAATGAAAATGCGGTTTTTGCACAACTAAACATGATATATCATAAAGCTACGCATTTGAGGGGAACATGGAATCAGTACAAATGGATTAGAAACAGTTTCAACATACTAGTTTATCTAGGATTATTTTATGCTATATTACAATAGTCTTTCTCTAACAACAAATAAATAAACATATCAGTCGCCAACATCTGCTTTTACATGAAAGAACAGGGACCTAAGAAAAAGAGCATCAATTTTTAATGAAATGCAAAAAGAGCAAACTGGATACATAAAAGTACAGAATATGAGAGAGGGAGAGAGTGCAATTTTTTTAACGAAATAAATTAACAGCAACAGGTCAAGTAAAAATCTAGCTTTCAATTGCTTGATCTAGGAAATGGAATTTTATTGTTAAATCAATTCGACAACACAAATATCCAGGTTAGATACAACGTAGGAAGAATAAGGTAATTAAGGGCATTGAACAACTAGACAATGGAATAAATCAAGTTGACAAACAAAATTTTCTTTGTTCCATGGTTTATAGCAGCATTTAAAGCAGAAGCCACAATTCCAAAACTTCAATGTGGAAAAGGAAATTCAGAACCACAAGGAAATCAAGGTTGCATATGGCTAAATAAAATCCTAAGTTTCCTCAATAAATTGGGCTTTCCAATGCAAAATCATTTGATAAATTTTTCTTCTCCTTGTACGATAATAAATTAAAAAGAAAAGAAAAAGATTGCCATGAGAATGAAGAAAAGCATTTAAAATGAAAACATCATAGAATTATTTTTCTCCAAATCCTTAAAATACAAGATTTCCCCGATAGCCTAGAAAATTCAAGCAACAACAGAGAATATAGAAAAATTAAACAAAATAATGATTCCTATCACGAAAAGCTTATAAATTCTGGCAATTAATAGCAAAAATCCGAGAAATGCATCAAGCCCCAATGAAACCTTAGAAAACATAAAAGAGGGTCCAAAACCCATGAAGATTTCAGAAAATTTGAAAGACCCAATCAATTTTGAAAACTTTTAAATATTGAGGTGTCTCAAGAATAATAATAATAAAAAAAACCGAATACCCATGATCCCAAACAATTCCCAGAAACCGTAAAAACGTTCAGAAGCAATGAATCCAGCCAAAATTCCCCAAGAATGTCCCTGGAGAAAACCAAATAGAAATGCTCATAACCCACATTTCTCCAACCATACAAAGCCGTAACACGAGAACCCACCCACCATGAAAAACTCGAAAACAGAAAGAGAAAGCTCCAAGAGACGAAGAAAAATTGAAGATGGAAATACCTTTTGGATCTTTATCAGCGGTTGACGATAATTCACCATTACCGAGCCAAGAAGGTGGCTCGATCCCCTTGAGATACAGAGAGGATGCCATAGCTTGAGCGAACAGTTTCTGCTGCTGCTCAAGCTGAGATAGCAGCCAATTTTCCCTCTCAAACATCTGATACAACAACAACTCAACATTCGCCATCTCTGCTTCAACAAATCACATTAGCCCCAAAAAGGCCTACTATTTACTTTAAGAGACGCTCCCTCCCTCTGGTTGACGGTTATGGAGAGGGGTTTTGTTACCTATGCTACACCAGACCCTGCATTTCAAATAAGGACAGGTTTCCATAAGAGTTGTAGAAATGGGTGCCCTTTTGGAAAAGTTTTATATCGAGTTGCAACCTTAAAAATGTAAATTAAGGTGCACATCAAAAATCCATCATGAAAGATTGTCGAGTTGTTGGAAAAACCTCTAATTAAAAATCCATCATGAAAGATTGTCGAGTTGTTGGAAAAACCTCTAATTGATAATCCATCATGAAAGATTGTCGAGTTGTTGGAAAAACCTCTAATTGATAATCTTTGAGATGTATGAATATGAAAAACAAAAACTTAAAAATCCTATCTTGCAACTCATTATATAAAGGAAAATGGTTTGATTGAGTTGCGGCCCTATTAAAATAAGTAAACCCCACCTTATAACTCATCAAAAATTACAATTCTAAGTGTTGAAAAACCTTTAAATCGATCATCTCCATTTGAACATTATGGTTGTGCAAAACCATTAGCATTTTAAATTCTAAAAACGTTTTATATTGCAACAAATCATCTAGACCATCAATTTCACCCTAAAAATGAGTGTTCATAGATCCGCCAGATTTGTACTATTTTTTTAGTTTCAAATTTCATTGTCGGTATTGAAAATTAATTTTAGAGCCATCATAAAGATTTTTTATTACGAAAGTGCTTTCTAGATGAGAAATTGAGGCAACGGTTTATTTTGTTTTTATAAAGCCTATACCTTATAGAAACTTTATACTTATCTAAATCATCCATTTAAAGATTTTTTAGTGTTTATAGATCTATTTGATTTGAAGGAGTTAAAGATTTTATAATTAAAAATCAAAATAGCTTCTCAAGCCATCCTAGTAATTTTTTATATCAAAATTATATTTATGATAAAATTTGGAGATCCTAATTTGATTGGTTAAGGTTGCAACCTTATACAAACCAAACTCTCTTTTGAAATTGTATTTTGGAGATAAACTGTTGAGACCAAAACTGATCTCATAATGCGGTGTTGTTTAAAGTTACAAACTTATGCCATTCACACCTTTTAATTTTTAGAACTGAAAAGATATTATATTCTCTAAGGAGTATATTGTCTGTTTACTCTCTCAGGTTAAACCCTCCGTAGAATTAATTTTAGGACCCCACGTGGGGATATAATCTCTTCAACCCCATGTATTAACTTCCTTATAAAAGTTTATAATTGCACATTCTATGCACTTAAAAAATATATAGATAGCTAATGATTGATAGAGACTTTTCAAGTTTTAGAAGGTGAGATATAAGCGTCAGAAACCTCAAATTTCAAAAAGAAATTTAGCGTATAATTATTTATTGATTCTTAGCTGGTTCCTAAAATTTCAAATTAAAAAAGTTCCATGGAAGCATAGTACAAGATTTATTTTTAAAAATATATACTCTCTAATATAGAAATCATCAATATGTCAAAAAATAAATTATAAAAATTAAAAATAATAATTTTAAAAATAAAATATTTAAACCATTAATTTTTTTTAAAAAATAATACCCTAACACATACATAAAACAATTTTCACGCACAAAGCATCCCTCTCTCTCTACCCATTAAAGAGAGAACTCACATGAGTGCCCCTCTCTCTCAAGAACATTCTCTCTCTCAAGATCCCTCCTGTTTCACTCCAACTGCGCCAATAAAAATTGAAATCTCAATGCTTACAAGGCTAAGCTGGTAATCGATCTTGACTATTTTTTACTTTTCATTATTGACTATCAAATTATTTTTCTCTCTAAATTTCAGGGATTTTCTCTTTCTATCCCATTTATGATTTTGGTAGTTCGTTTTAATGGGTCCTTTTCTTCAAACACCTTGATGGTTTTCTCCTTTGATTTGCATGGTCTCTTTCATCATAATTTTATTTTTCTCCATCTAATTTTTCTGCATTTGCCAATTAAAAACAAAGAGAAATCCAAAACCATTACCAAATGAGGTGCATTTGAGGGAAAAAGTGAACCCAATAAGGAAAGAGGGAGATACAAGCAACACAATGGTGGTTTCTTTCTGTTGGACTTTTGATAGAAGAGAGGGACTCATAAACTCCCAAGAATTGATGGCAGTGTTGTGAGATTAGGGATTATAAAAATCAGGCTTTACCAGAACAATGAGAACTCTGTGATTTTTTGTATCTCTCTATGGCTATGAAAACCCTTTTTACAGAGGGATGAGAGGAGGCCGTTCTCCAACGCTCGGCTTCCTCCTAGAATCTCTGAGAGACGTGACCCTCTAATCTTGGGAGTTGGGTAGTTATTTTCTACCATTGGATAATGTCATCTTCTCTCTCTAAAAAGGTCAGTTTTATTGATAATTATTAAACTATATAATGAAGATAAAGAGAGAGAAACATGACACGTTTAAGGGCCCATGACCACGCACACGTACCAACATCTCACACTTAGCCATGAGGGTAAGATAAATTAAAATATCATAAAATCTTTACCACTTAGTGGGTTTAACATTTATTAGCATATATTTGTCATGAGGTTTTTCACGCTAGTGCGGTTATACATGTCATAACAAAAAATATCAAAAGTCATGTCATGGAGTTTTTCACATTAATGCAGCTTTTCCTCTCATGACCAAGATATCAAAAAAAAAAAATCTCATTTAGGAGTTTCTGACTTAGATATTTCTAAGTCCCAGCAAAGCTACATGTTTTGATAATGTTTTTGAACTTAATCCCTTTGTTAAACGGTCTGTAGTCATATATGAAGATGACAAATAACTTACCGTTACTTCATTCTTTCCAATAATATCATAAATATAATGATAATCAATTTCAGTGTGCTTACCCTTGGAACTATAAGCTCCATTTCTAATTGATGAGATATCAGCTTGATTATCACAAAAAATTTTAACAGGTCTGTTGATTATATCCAGCTTCAAATCATTTATGAAGCGTTCAATCCAAATGACATAAGTTGTAGCAATACTACAAACAATATACTTGGCTTCCATAGTATACCGAGTTACACAACCTTGTTTCTTGCTAAACCAAGAAACACATCTACCTCCAAAGATGAATACAAATCCTGATGTTGATTTTCTATCATCTCAGTCTCCTGCAAAGTCGGCATCAGAGTACCTAGTAATTCTAAGTTATCAGCTTGGAATCACAACTTGTAATTGTTAGTTTTCTTAATATATATGAGTATCATTTTTACTGCTTGTCAATGAGCCATTTCAGGATTACTCTGAAATCTACTCACAAGACCATATGCATTACTCAAATCAAGTCTTGTACACAACATGACATAATTTATGTATGTTACAACTTGAACATATGGAATTCTTTCTATTTCAGCTTTGTCATTTCATTGACACATTTTCTTTGACAATTTTAAGCATTTACACACTGATGTATCTATGGGCTTGCAATTTTTCATCTTAAATTTCTTTAAAATACTTTTTAAATAATTTTTTAAAGATAAACATAGAATTCTCGAACTTCTATCTCTTATTATTTTAATGCCCAATACATATGAGGCTTCTCTGGTATCTTCCATCTCAAATTGGGAACTTAGTCATGATTTGGTATGATTAATTATGCCAATATCATTACTAGCTATCAAAATATCATCTACATATAGTGACAATATAACAAAATTGCTTTCAGACATACACACAATAGTCAAACCTATTGGCTACATAACCAATTTCAGTGATTGCACTATGAAAAATAACGTACCACTGCCTAGAAGACTGTTTCAGACCATATAAATGTTTTGGATGCGGTTTCTATTAGATTGCAACCTTAAACAATCCAATTAAGGCACACCTTAAAATTTTATCATAATAAGTAATTTTGTTATAAAAAATTATTAGTATTATCTTAACACCTATTTTCATACCTAATTAGAAAATTTTAAAATCCAAAAATGGTTAAAATCAAGTAGATCTATAAATATATGAAAATCTTGAAAATGGACGGTCTAGATAATGTGTTGCAAGATGCACTATTTCCAATACTCAATTTTATTTTATTTTTTATTTATCATATTCATACATCTTCATGTCGAGATGATCTATTAGAGGGTTTTTTCAACATTAAAACAACATTTCTGATAGATTTTTTAGGTGCATCTGTGATTCTACATTTTAAGGGTGCAACCTTATTAAAACTTTTTCATATAAAGATTTTTTAAGTTTATATATGTTATCTTCTTGGCCTTTAATTACATATCCTTCTGATTGTTTCATGTATATATCTTATTTTAATTCTCCATTTAAGAAAACTGTTTTGACATCCATTTGAAATAATTATAGTAATATACAACTAATGCTAGGATGGTCCTAATGGATGAAAATTTTGCTGCTGAAGAATAAGTCTCTACATAATTTATGCCTTCCCTTTGGGTGAATCATTTTGCTACCAACCTAGCTTTATATTTATCAATTGATCCATTTGCATTAAGCTTTTTCTTTGGGACCCATTTGCAATCAATGACTTTTCTATTTTTAAGGGGGCCAACCAACTCCCAAACTTGATTTCTTTTAATAGAATCAAGATCATCATCTATGGCTTGAGTCCACTCAACTGAGTCATGTGAATCAATAGCTTCACTGTAGCTTTGAGGTTCATCTATTAAATCCTCATTCGTTGAAGAATAATTATATACATTCATAAATACATAAAATTCTTCTAAATATGTAGGTGGGGTTCCCGTTCTTTTAGACCTATCTAATATACTTGATTCAATCGTATCATTATCACTAATGGTAGAGGGAGATTGTGAAATAGGGTTTTTGAGACCCTTATCTTTATCAATTTTATGTAAGTCAATAGGTTTACTTAAAATATTTTCATCATCTATATTTTTTAAGAAATGACCATCATGACTCTCTACTAAGAATCTAGTCTTATGGTTATAGAATCTATAGCCCTTAGAATTTTTTGAATAACCGATAAATGAGTATTTTATAGTTTTACTTTGAAATTTGTTTCTATTTTATGGTGTATAAGCACATGTACCCAAGAACCCCAAACTTTCAAAATAATAAGGTCAGGTTTTATACCTATCCATAATTCGTATAGGTCAAGTCTGTAGATTTAGTTGGAAC